AAATTATAATTTATGTTTCGGACTTGCGATGCGGATGCACAACTATCATTCAATGCTCAGATTGAACCTAGCCTCATCCAACAACCATAAAATAATTTGGTTTTTCGATTTTTTATTTGAAACTTATATTTATTTGAAAATTGAGCAGTAGATGTATTTTTATATGGTACATCAAGTAGAAATAAAAAATAAAAAATAAAAAGTATTTCAAATAAAAAAGTTAACCAAATTTCCCTTAAATCATTATGAATCTGGTCATTTTTCATTTGAAACGTTTTTGTAACTATTTTTATTTAGTGTGCCATATAGAAACGCGTCTATGCTCCAAATTTTGGATAAAGATATTTCTAAATAAAAAATGAAAATGAAATTATTTTGTGACCATTGGATGAGACCTTTGTTCAATTTGAACTGTTGGAAGGGTGCTTGTGCGGCCTTGCACCGGCCTCATTATGTGGTCGGGAGATCTTCCTTTTCACTTTAAGCTCATTTAGGCTTTTTAAGTAACAACATGTTTTTTCTTATTTTTTTGGGGGTTAGTTTAGCATGTGGAATCAAACCAGAAACATGATTTTACAATAATCAACACCTAACCAATTAAGCCAAAGCAAGACTACTTGAATCACTCTTACAATTAAGTCAGATTTATAGTATTGCATGGCCATTGTGGTTCTTCAACTTCGCACAGTTATTAGCTGCAATTATTGATTGACTTTTTTTCTAACCAAATAAAATACGGAAAATATCATGTTAAAACCCCTTACAGAACTATTTTGGATTAAACTATTTCAATTAATATTTGAAGGTTTACTTTTAAATTTTTATTTTATTTAGATAGACCTTCAAAAAGCATTAAACAATGCCCAAAATTCATGTTGGGAAGTCAGAGCGAGCAGGGCACTCCATTTGATTAGGCCATGTTAGATTTGTCAACTTATAAAAATGCTACTTTTTGTGGTTCCCAACAATGAAAAAGGGAAATTTAGGTATATTCAGAATATTTTCTTAAAAGGTATTTGAGTAAAATGAAAATTAAAAACAAAAATATTTTAATGTTGATTATGATGTTTTTTTCCCTTACTCCCTAAATAATATTTTCCCAAAAAAACAGATGAGCATGCGAAAATGAAAGGAAAAAGATTAAGTGGTGTGGCAGTCCATCATCAACACATGGTGCACGCCCGATAAACACCATTACGAAGAGGTTTTGATAATGGGAAAGTATAGAATGAGACCATTTACTTTTGGTACAAGGTGAGACACTAATCTTGACTATTGGATGTGAAATTGGATGGTTGTAACTATTTCATTGATCAAGCTCAAACTTTAAAAGAAATTTTTTCAAACTTTGTGACACCTTCAAGCTCTCAAATTTCACATCGGATATTTATAAGTAATTGTGACCACCTTATATCCAAAGTAAATGGTCTCATTATATACGATCCCTGTGATAATTTATAGTTCACCTTGATTCACACGCAACGCCATTAGAAACAATGGTTTGAAGCTCATAAAAATGCTCTAAAGTCACTCTGCCTCAAAGAATTAAAAAAAAAAAAAAAAAAAAAAGCCTAAAAGTTTTTTTTTTTTAGGGGTTTGGGGGGGGGGGCGGGGGGGGGGGGGGGGTCGGTGGCGTTACCATGTTTTGTATGGTAGAGTGTGGGACCACCC